ACAGGATTCTTGCAAAACATACAACAGTCAATACTAAGCTGCAACAGTAATTGTCCGAACATTATGGGCATAAAGTGACAGTGAAATAACACGATAACTGTGCTAGTCGGTTCCTTTTGTATCACTCATGGATATTTAAGTAGCATCAAGTCATACTTCCAGTGTGCCACTATATTATTTTATTTTGATTATAGCTTGATTCTACACCGTATTTTCGGTACAAGTATGGAATTTTCAGCATGTGATATCAGTAGCCCAAATTTTGCAGGCCGACCACTGGTATCAGGTGTGGGTCGACAGGGGATCGAACCCTGGACCATGTGCATGGTCGGCGAGAATCCTAACCGCAGTGCCACCAACGCCTACTGACTTGTATTATACGAAAGATACCCATCAGGAGAGAGCAGTTAGTTCAACTCAAGTTTTCTTGATCCATGTCATTGCGTGTACTTGTGAATCCACCAATAGTTTGTGGGTAGTATCCTTATTATTTCAGTGATAAACTTATTTATGCACCATCCCGAGAATTAATCCTACATATTTGGTATAAACGCTCTAAATTTTGCGAGTAACTCCATTTTGTTCTTGTTGCCACTACTGACTTGTGGATGAACTACATCTCTGACATAACACACATGATTTAACACTTGATTTTAATACACACAGACAATTAAAACCACAAAGCATAGTGGGCAACAGGAAAAAATAGACATCAAATTCAAACGACCTTGAAACGACCAATCAGATCGCTCGGTAACACAAATGGATGCTTATCATCATTTTCGTTGCAAGATTCACTCTAACCTTAACCATAACCCTACATAAAACCCACCCTAACAGGACGAAACGTGTAACGAAGATTACGAAAACATTCATTTGTAACTCTGAGAGATTTGATTGGTTGGTTCAAGATCCCTTGACCTTAGGGTCTATTCTTTACTGTTACTGTAGCGTGATATCTCACTAAAGTGAAGATTCAATGGCAGCAAGAGAATTTCCAGAATCCTGACATTCTAAAAACACTACAACTAACGAAGGTAAAGTAACAAACTGATTCTACAGCCCAATGAAAATGAAACTCACCACATCTCTATTAACAAGGGATTTATCAAACAAATCAACAGTTAGGCGCAATGACGGCAAAACTAGAATCATCTGATACATAACCTGACAAACAGAAAAATACTTACCGAAAGCGTTTAATGTGTAACCGTAAAACACGTGGGAGTTTAGAAAGGCGAATTGTTTGCGTTGCATGAGTCAAAAATGAGTTCTTTGTGGTAGGAAGTGCGAGTCTTTTCGGTGAGTTGACAGCGGATGACTGCGGAGTAAGAAAACGACTTGATCTCTCAACTGATGGATTAATGCATTGTTCTTCAATACAAGTTAGACTAGATGCACTCGACAACATGCTCTCTGAAATAGAAGACGTTTCGGTCAAATCGCATGATGTGCTGAAGTCAGGATGAGAAGATCGAGGACTATGGGGAGGAGAAGCCAGTCTGGACAATACGATGGATACCATTTTATCCACTAAATAAAGAATAGAGAAACAAAATGATACAACTACTGCTGAGGACTTTAGAGACGAAAGTTTTCTACATGAAAAATCACTGACAAACACCAGCATATATACAATTTAGTGTCAATGAATGTAATAGTCAGTTTTTAAGCATACCAGTTTTACCTAAATGTATCTTCCAAACGGTTTCACTCAACATTTTCTAATGTACACCCTACGCATTTTGTTGTGTCATAGATACTTTGCCCAAATATTTTAGTGGAGATATAAAAAGTGATTCTCTATAGTTTTTAGGCGATGGATAACATCAGCTACATTGCTACTATATGATGCTTGTCCAAGAAGTTACCCAATTGTCTTTCAATCAAACGAAGATAACAGCAGAGTGATCAAACCAACATCTACCAGTGGCTAGCGATTCAAAGATACCTATTTCCCAATCCTTAACAAATATTCCACTGGAACACAGAATAGATCTCGTATGAAATATATGACCGAGATAACAGCCACAAACTACTCATTTGATAGAATAAGTATACACAAAAAATATATAAAGATAATTTAATAACAAATAAGTGTCTTTCAAAACTTGAAAGGTATTTTTCACTAAGCTGAAAAATTCAGTTGATAATAAAAACCCTCCCGAATTTCTCCCTATTAATCAGGAAATATTTTTACGAACCTTCCGGATAATACACTGTCCACTCATGAGAAAGCTTTATCTCTTGGACCAAAATTTTGTGTTCGTCGTATGCATTTTACAGGTCTAGCTATCCGTAAGACCTGTATGACCAAGTTAAACCCCTCGTCCCAACATCAGATGAAGGTCGGTGTTGGTAGATACAGCTCACCAGTTGTCTAAGGACTATCCGAAACAGAAAAGTATTTTAACTCCCTAGCATTTCAGAACCTTGAAAAGACTCAGGGAAAATCCTTATATAACGATTACGAAACCTGACAAAGGTTTGAAGTTGTCATCATGAATAAAAAGTGACTACGAATGTTGTCTATTCTAAATGATGTGAAAGTATATCCAGCCAAGATTACTCTTCTAAGCACAAGGCACAGTGATAGCTAATTTAGTGAAACTTCTTGGCTTAAATTTCATAAACAGACTCTTTAAAACCACTTGAATGCGAATTTCCACATATGTATGATTTACCTAAAATACATAAAGCCAGCAATTCTCTACTTCCCATAATGCCAATGTGTAGATCACCGACATATAAATTTTCTCAACTCAAAACAATTCATATTTTGTGTGACTACATTTTCGCATATAATTTCCCGGTCCCGTTTCCTTTATCCTCTTTAAAGGATTTATTACTTATGTGTACCAGTAATGTCAGGTTTACATTTGAAGGCGACTGTTCCCATCAGATTGATGGTGTTGATATGCAAAGCCCTTTGAGGCTCATTTTAACGGATATCTATATACCTACATGTCATATATTGACAATTTATCGGAACACGTACCACTTTTTAGGAGATATGTCAATGACATTTTAATCATAAGTGGCAATCCTAGTCCTACCACTTCAACTTTAGATCGGATGAATGAAGAGCAGAATAGCACATCATTTAAGTCTGTAAAAGAGAAAGATAATCGTTTATCCTTCATAGACGTACCGCTTAGTCAATGGTCTGATGGATCAATACAACCACTCATTTACAGAAAATCTACCTGGACAGAAAAGTATCAAAATCACCACAGTTTCTCTCTTGTTCAGTACAAAAGAACTCTCTGGTGAGGTGTCACTTTAGTAGGATTTAATAAATATGCACAGAGGACATATTGGAATATGAAGAAAGGAAACTGAGAGACACTTTGGTTAATAACAATTATCCAGAGAATTTATTTGGTGGACGGTTACCAGCAGTGGAATCCAGGATGCGCATTTCGTCTCTTTTGGGACTAGTCTCTGGATGTACCTGCAATCCCCAGTGAGTGATGGTGTTTCTCCTGAGGCTCGAAACCAGTATCCATCGATTCAAATACCAAAGTGTTAACCGCTAGACCACTTGGGCCACGATAGCCACCTCTTGTGCAACCGGTATTGTTATTATTTGATTCAACTTGGACTTTGCCATTGACTGATTGGACCGAAGTGCTCGTCGAATCCAACATGTCAACAGAAACCGAACACTTCGGTCCAATCAATCAACGGGAAAGTTCAAATTGAATTAAATAATTATCCAGAGAAGTTCATATAGAGATATAAAATGGTCAGGACACCGAGACCCATTTTCCAACTCGCCACTAAGAAGGATGTATATATAAAGCTACCCTACATGAGTAATCATAGCACTTTGGTAATTAGACAAAGATACAACGCTGAGGCTAAAAAGACTTTATGCAGCTAAGACCCAAGTAACTGAGAATACGGAGCTTATATATCCATCTAAGCCCTTAGTGCATGCGAAAAATGATGCCACATACCACTGTATCTACCAGTTTAAATGTACATAGGGAGGACTAATCGAACTTTGCAAGTAAGGGCTTCAGAGGATATCTTTAAATGACTTCAGAAACAAATCAAATCCCCTCAACCCACTAATGGTAAACAAACGATCTAGCTCTTATTGCGAAACACATCATAGATACACATAATAAAATTAATGTTTAAATCTAACCATAAAACGTGTTCGGGGCGTATCCCAAAGTTTATGGAAGCCATAGAGAATGGAAAATTTAAACTTCCTCAATGTGTTCGAAAACAATCTGTCATCAAAATAAACCTTCCTTGATCAACTTGGTTTTGATACCATGGCAGTTGAACTATTATGTTCCATCAGATTAATCTCCATTGATTTTCAATGTGTCCTTTTAACTTGACTTATGCCTACCTTCTCACCCCCTAAGATTTTATTTTCAGAAATATATATCCCTATGATAAGTACGTGTGTGATCAGATTATTCAAAACGTGTTGCGCAAATACATTATACGATTCAGATATATTACGTCTTTTAATTGTTTTGTCGAAATTCATAAAGAGAACTGGTTGTTTCAAAATCACTATTAAAAGTAAATATGACTTTATCAGCACAAACACATACATATTTATTCCTTTATAAGTTACAGCATTTGAAAATTATCGACAGTTTACAATACTTGGACTAACCAGTCAGAGACTTGGAACGTTTATGTTTCCTCCTAGTCAAGTTTCAATTTTTACTTTATCTCGTCAGTATAGCTGATGGCAGTTTACTTGCAGCCAATAAACCAAATTTCAAAAACATTTTTCCCATAAATATCAAATTACTAACTTCTGGAGGTACTTTAATCTGTCTGCCTGCTACATGAATTTCTGTAGCTTCAAATACTGCCAAGTGATAAAAATGTATTGACAATACATACGACTTGCACAGTATGAATACTTTAAAACTCATTAACCACATCATAATTTCAAGACGAAATGAAGACAGTAGGAGTTAAATAAACTAAACAATTACAGTACTATGGCTAATAAAACATACCGGGATAAGGTTGATCACTTGGATCATAAATATACTCATTAAACGTTGATCTTGTGGATTCTATCCTTTTTTTAATTAATTCAGCATAACACTGATTGCATTTTACACATGCATAGCTGGCACCATCAATGGCAGACGGACTAACAAATTGTCGAAGTAAATCGACTACATCACATTTACAAGATTCATCAGAATAACATTCAGTAGGTAATGAAAGACTGAGTTCATATATAGGTTCTTCAGTACATGCAATTACTTGACAAGTAGAGCATCGCACATGGCTAACACAATATCCACGAAAAGCACGATTGATAAAATCACAACTGTTGTTTGGTACAGCCATGGGAATACCCTGTACCTCTGTCTGCAGGCGATCAAGTAATAGACTTAGAAACTCTTGCGCATCTTGTTGTTTATATCCTTTAAAGTTAGGTAGAGTTGACCAAACTGTATTTAAGAGATTAGTCGGACTGACGATAGATTTTTGACCTGACCACAACAACTTAAATAAATTACGTACTTCTTCATAAAGTGAAGGAGATGGAGCTGGTGAGGTTTGTGGGTCAATTAATGATGTCGGAAGTGGTTGTCGACCACGCTCGTGGGGGGATTTCAAGCACTGACCACCGTTCAATCCTCCAGAAGATCTGGATGAAAGAAGTCTATTTATCCTTGGAGCACCTAAATTCGTCTTGCAATCACGAAGAGAAATATATTCACTATTTGGAGCGCAACATGACACAACTTTGGTCACTGAAGAGTTCCATAAACTTCCACAGTTCTGAGATGTTGTGGGAGCTTGGTCTTTTGAAAACGTTGAATAAGTTGCTGGGCGTTTGATAGGAAATATTTGGTCCTCAGTAAGCACGTCTACGGGATAAATATGACGCTTTCTTGACTGATAAGTAATTTCACCAAACGTATGATTCATCACATAATTAGCAAACGGGGCGGTGTGACTAAAAACAATTATATTAACCAAAAAGGTAGATTACCGTAAAACTTGTAGTATTGAGTTCATGTAACACGTATTCCCCAAATTACGCAGACCTGTGAAGGAAGGAGTCAATGCCAGTGGTATACATTTGTTTTTGATCGTTTTCTTGGGGACAACAGGAACAAGCTAATAAATTAATCTGTATGTGATTAAAGAAACTAACCTTTGATTCAGCATACCTCGACCACCACAAATGCAATGCCCAAGAGAGACGAGATATTCTTGAAATTGATTGATAAATGAGGAACGTTACCTGTGCCGAACAACTGCCGTCTGTATGTCGTCAGCCTTCATTAAACGTAAATGGTTTCTAAGTAACAGAATATATATTATGCTATCGCTTTTATACTTTTCGACATCGTGACCACGGTGTCTGAGAATCCGCCTGCCCCTCTTTTTTTTCAAAAGCCCACTAAAGTCCTGGTTGGTAACTGCGTCTAGAGCCATCCGGAGAAGTTTGATATCGCCAGGTGCATTATCATTAAGAACGAAATCGTCACAGATGTAACTAATTATTCTATATCAATAATGGGATGTGCACTCACCAATAAACGAATTTTTCGTTTACTTCTATGCATAAGGGGTGCTAATTTGAAATGAAATGTGGGTAAAAATAACCTACATTTGTCTGTTTAAAGTGCTGAAGGGCATGTTCAGATATATAACGACCACACGCAAAGTTACTACACGACAGACAGGCCCAAACACTTTCTGTTGTATAACAGTGACTGCAATGCCAATGTTCAGGCGAGAGTATTCCCAACTGGATGCTTGTCTTCACTTTTACAACGTGTTTGCAATTATCTGTCATGGAACCTGAGACAAAGAATAAAAACAAATAATGTTGGGAGGAAATTATTCATTACGATAAACACCCTTTCTTACTAAAAACTAATTTCTGACGTAAAGCTGCCAGCTCTACAGACATTCGAAAAAAGTTATTCATATCTAGAGTCACTAAGATCCATCACAGCAACGTATGCAGCAGATGCCTGCATCCACTACTTATTATAAGCAACTGAACACAGTCTATATTATATGCATGGAAAACCACCGTTCCAACCCATGAGGAGTTTGTAATATCTAACGGTAGTAATGGCCGGACATTACGAGTTACACAAAACATGGGACCAAAGATTATACAGCACGGCACCAAAATATTTCGAACCTTGCTCTTATACCTATTGGTTAGCTCACAATTCGGTGAAATAAACAAAAAATATCTAGTTCGCATATATATATATATATATATATATATATTGAAACACTTCTATATGTTACACGTTCGTATACTAACATATCAATAAATCAAAATCAAGTTTTTAAATAACTGAAACATGCTTCTTGAGGCAAAGTTCTTCGTGGTTTTCCAGATTGATTACATTCTCATTTTTCTTGATGTAATTATCCTATTTCCAGTGAATTCCCTTTCCTGATTATTGGCATCTTCCTTTTTCTTACCTATGTGACTGACTAACTGGATTCAACATAGAACTTTGCACACTCCGTGTAGCACACAAAGTAAGAGAAGAGGGTAAATAGAGATTCAAAAGAGAGAGATAATAAACAGGACTGTGAAGGGAAAAGAACAGTAATATGGAAAAACAATAGAGTTTTATTGGATGTGATAAATCACAGGGTGAATACATCTGCGCCATTGAGGAAGATTTCGGGCCATATCACCAATTATCTCCAGTCATTGGTTTTTACCATCCTGTGCTTTTATAAAGTGTGGCAGCTTAAATTTCCGTACTTCAGTGCAGAGATTTCAGTTGAAAATTCATCTCAATTTCATCAGAAAAGCACTCTTAATACTACTCCAGATTGGTTTCACGATACCATCTAAGAAAATATTAGTTGAATTTTGATAGACCTGTTTCCTATAAAAATTTCAACTACGTTTCTTTGTCACAATACGACTGTTTGGTATTATTATCATCATATATAAATTTACTTACACTCCAAACTCTTTTAGTTTTTCGTGTTAGGCACGTGGTAAGCTGAGCAGTAATTGGGTTCGGAGCATAAATCTGCAAGTTTCCTTGCGTGTTTTCTGTGTTTACAACGACAGGTAACAAAGTGTAAGTGCTTCTAGATTAAGTTATGAAAACCAAAGTGCCTAAATATGTACAAAAGCTTACATTCCACGATACCTTCAGACACGCATCAGTGATATTCAAAAATATGACATTAAACTAACTTCCTGTTACAAAATGATGTTTCTCATTCCAAACAGCCAAAGAAGGATGGTAGTCTAATAACCATTTCTTACTTAAAGACAATGAAATCTTCATACTCTTCAATTGTATCACTAAGTCGCATGCTTAGAAAAACGTTCAAAGGTAATTCTGTTGGACTAAGGGTATCAAAACAACTCTAACTAACAGAAAGCTCTGGTTTCTAATAAGATAAGAAACCGGTATGACCAACCTGGGAGAATACACAGTCTATTCTTGCAGACCTAATGCAAGACGAATTCAAACACTATATGGGTGACAGCAATATAGGACTAATATTTAGTCCAAGTTTTCATATGGAGTTAACGCTATGTACTCTTCAAAACTACCCAAAAGTTTTCCACGTAAAGTGGAATTTAGTTCGCGTTTATATGCTGGATGTACTTTTAAGCTCTTCCTACCAGTTGAAGCTGTTAATATAAATCAAAGCTCAAACATTTGCAGGTGACCGTTGCAAGCACATGATTCGATTTTTTAGTAATAAACTGTTATTAAATAGATGTGTATTAAATATTGTAGAAATAAATAACATTGAGTGCAAATGAAGTGTCATACAAAGAATCAGTATATTAACAAAAATCCACAGTTTGTGTTACACAGACAATTATTTGGTACCAACTGAGAGAAAGCCTAACTCAAAGCTGATTACTCATGCAGTGCTAACTGGGGAAAGATTTATACGAAGAGAATTCATTGTGTAACCGAGTAAATCTAGAGTCAGTCATATACGTCAGAATGTAATAACATTTCTCATAGACATACTTATAATAAAGGAATCTAAATTAAAATCTAAGCTTGTAGGCAAAATATCCACATTAAACGGAAAAAACATAGTGAATATGTCCGAACAAACACACAGTTTTTTAAAAGACTCAGGAGCGTAACTGATTAGTATTGAGGCTCTTTACATTGCAACCTAAAAAGCAGTTGCATTCTATTAGAAACCAAGAGGGAAATATATACGCACATAGACTACGTTTTTGCATACACTCAACAACATATCATTGATAGATCATTTGTATTTATGTGTGTTAATCAACGTAAACTAGTGTATATCATTAAACACTTCTAGAAAATGTATTTCGGCAAGTATTTACCAATTATAATATTCTCTTATGGAGATGAACAACACTCAAAGTCAAAGAAAAACTTTTGGAGCGCTGAAGATACTTTGAGTACGTTATATTGAGATATGCATGAACTGTAACTTTAGTTGTTAGTGTGAGTGAGAGAATAAATCAAAAACTGCTAAACCTTCCATTCATTACAATATATGCTATAGGATATCTGGGCAAAGTTAAACTATCATAGCCAAAACTAGTGACCTTGGACAACCAGTCAGAATTCAGGTGCACTAAAGTCGCATAATCGTTGAAAAATGCACTAAAAAATCACTGCAAACATGACATTATAATATATAGTTGTCGCATGTGTTGTAAGAACTCCCAGTCACTACACAGATGATCCATAGAGAAACCATGCCAACTGCGATTCATGCACTCATCAAGGTGACTGTAGGTCATAATACTTTGGGAAATACTGATGCTTTTGACACTTTTCCTCGACCTACTCCTAACTCTAACCCTAAATTTAACCATACTCAACACCTTAATAGTATGTCCTAATCTAAAAGGCTATAACTCTACCTAACAGTATGGACTAAAAGAAAAAGTACCTAGCGAATAGGTAAAATACTGTATCTGCCTTCTCCAAGGGCAAAAAAGCAGGCATGATTTTATTTGGCATGACATATCATAGCATTCCCAGTATCTCATTGGTTCCTGAAAGTCACACCTTGAAAGACGTTAGCTATGGCTATGACACATTAACTTAGCCGAGATCTGGTATGTGAAATTTGAGAGTACTTGACTAGTAATGAGGAGATAGGAATAAATGAGGTCTACAATGGACCGGACCAAAAGTTTCAGCTTCAACTCTTCAAAGCTATTCATTTTAAATCGGACAAAATGGTAAAAAGTGGGCAAATAACGGACATTACCAAAAGTAAGAAAAGCAGACGAATTTCAGTTACACATCGAATATTTCCTGGCAAAAACTGAATCAATATTTTAATATTTGAACTGTTATTCAACGAACATTTTACCACTATCGAAGCAATATTCCCGATTACTTTACCACTACTTTCCCACTTTAACCATTATTTAATCAGGGCTCACCCATTATACTCCCAATCCTACCATACGCCCAAAATCATGCCCATTTAAACCATTTTTCGCCAATTTTTTTCGACTAAGTTCAGAGTTGTTATATACCGTAATTTTAAGGTTGCAGCCAGATTCCTTGAAAAATTTGTTTATTTCGCTTGGCACTGTTGTAACTAAAAGTTTTTATGAAATCTTAGATAAGTCCAACACCACAGAACATTTGCAGAGCAACAAAAACTCTGCATTCAATGCAGAATGACTGCAGTCCATCGAATGTACCCGTTAATTAGGACGCTTTATAACCTTCACTCAATTAATGCTTTAAGGCATACACATCGATACTAGAATTTAATTACGCAGAAAAACAATCCTGATAACTGGACACCTAAAAATCAAACACACCACGAAAACGCAGATACAATCTACGGTCACCAAAACCAGCGCCGTCTGAAATCCATCCTGTGTCAAGTGTACAATAGTATCAGAATCAAGGCAGAAATTAAACATCACGTACAAGGTCATTGATGGAGTGAGACGCTCAAAGGTCATTTTCGTCCATG